TAATAAAGTTGTGTTTCTCAAGCAGAGCAGAAGTCAAACTGTCGGCATTACGCAAAGAATTTCTTATCAGACATTGATATCTTGACTATGATGATGGATTGAACCTATTATTTCTGCATTCAAAGTCTGTAAAACGAAAATTGCTTAACAAATACATCAAGTCATATCTGTATTTTATCTTTAACTTACTGTAAACTGTAAATGTTAAGGCAAAAAACAAACGATGACAGGCGGCACACTTTCCTGACATTCATTTGTGATGAATCGATGATTCACTTACCCTTATATTGCAATAATTATCTTAAAGAAATTAAATGATTGCATTAGATATATTGAATATAATCATTTAGTTAAAATAAACAGTTATCACCTTGTCTCTTAATCCCTCAATCCCTCAGCGATACTCTAATCCTTTTGGCAAAGCAGTGCAAAAATATTTGCCAGTTTACTTTTATTACCTGAAACAAATGCTTCGCTCAAATGAGATGTACAATTCATTTCCAACTCTTACCAATACTTCATCAGTATGCCCAAAAGAGATTGGCAATCGGTACTTGGTGAGCTCTCACATTTATTCTGATGCAGCAAGGCTAGCAGAAATGTCTATAAGTCAATCTATGAAAAAAGCTAAACATAGCTTAAAAAACGCTCGCTCAGTTCGATGCGAATTAGAAACGATCTAAAAATGAAGTCGCAAATTAAGTAAACTCTTTCAATTATTTTCGAAAAGTTCATTGAAAGTTTGAAAACAAAACTGCTAAGTTTTCTGTAGCAAACATTTTAATTTCGACGAATAATTTTTGCAGCGAAGATATGAACGAAGAAATGAGCAAGAATTTATGTCGTAATCACTTGACGACACCGTAAATACTACCTGTTCCCAGAACATAACATTTTATATCAAAGACTTTGCCGCGGTATCATTTTTGTTTTTGGGGTTCAGGAAACGAGCCAATGTTTTTATGGCCATAAAAAATGTTTGCTTACTCGATCTTTGCCTGAATAATGACGGCGAAGCTTTTGAATATATGTTCATCTGGTTTGTTTCATTCAAGAAATATTACAATTTGCTTTAAAAAAGCACACCTGCAAGAAACCGCAAGGTATTTAATTTAGCACGAGGATAGTTATAGTGCAATCCACACTATCAATAAAATGATTGAAGTGATAACCGACAAAAAACCTTTCATATTTACATTTTGATTTATGTTGTTGCTTGCACACAATAATTAAAAATTTCAGAAATATTTTTAGAAATTGTAAAGCTAATTTTACCAAAAATATTTTCAAATTTGAGGTTTCTTTCTTTTGAAACGAGTTCTACAGCTTATAAACAATGATAAGCATTAACTGTCAGATCAGGCATACTTTCTGCATCGATAATTCAGAAATGGATCTGAATTTAAGGCTGACAGACTTGAGAAAAATTAATTAGGCAATTCATTTCTTTATTTTATTGAGCACATTTTTGCAGAATCAAGACACGATAGCTTTCTATTATAAAATTCAGAAATGAACTCAAATGATTGATAGATGAAATTTTGTAATGAATCTCACTTTTATGGAAATGCGGAATTTAAATTTCAACAAAGATACAAATTATTTAGAAAATGTCAAAATTATCAAATTCTTTTACTGTGACAAATTAAGTGTGGAAGATATAATGAGATTGAATATTTGAACTTTCATGCAAATGTGCATAATGCAATCTTTTTGCCTCAACAAACCATTATTTAATGGCTTTGCAAACAATATAAATGCTCAAGCTATAGGTGCTATAAAATGGGATTACGGATTAGCTGCGAAATATATTTTCCTTCTTTTCACTAAGTTTGGTTACTTACCTTAATTTTGCTACACCTGCATAGAACTACAGTATTAGTGCCTAAGCGATTTTACTTATAATATTGTTGCGCTTTTTAATAAAACTACTCACTTAAGAAATCAACCACATTTTTTAAAACTCATAGGTTCATTTAAATTAAATTTAGACAAGTCAAGTTATAAATTTTAAAAATCCAAGCTTAAATTTCGAATGACTTACCTAATTTATTCGCAATTTTAGTTTTCAATAAGGCAAATATTAAGCAGTAATATTTATGCAAATTATAGCAACAGAATGGAGGTGAGTTTATTACCATTATTCAGTACTTTAATTAAAACTGCTTTTCATTCTCATAGTAATTTTTCAAAACCCATTTCTACAGTACTTGTGATATAAATACTTGGTAGCCAACATAAATCCGACAAATATGTATTTTCAACTGTAAGTACAACTTATCGATGTCGAGTGGAATAATTTCGAACATCGAAAAACTATTTCCTTCAGTCATTATGCATTTAATGCATATTTTTCTTATTAATTAATTATGTTAAACTTGAAGAAAATGAACTATCATAGAAATTGAGAGCTACGATTATTATCAGAGCGAGCAGTAATTTTAATCATTTCAAAATAATGCATTATGATCCAACAGATAATTATTGATGTAAACAGGAAACTGATCAATATAACATAAAAGTTGCGCTGCACTGATAACTATTTTCATGTCAACAATTTTCTTCAGCAACTACCTTTAATAACGAAAACTGGTGAAGATGAAGATAACTAACACAAAGAAGTTCTTCCCATGAAAGGAGTTGACTTTCCACATGAGAACGGAACTGAGTAATTTTAGAAGCAAAATGTATGAATCAAATTTACTACTCATAACTATTAATAATATTTATTCTTTCTAATAATAAATCTACGAAAATTCAACGAAAATAAATTGTACAGTACTGGAAAAGAATTTTGCATGCTGCTACATTTGAAGTATAATAAGCAGTATTCGATTAAGACAGGAGCATGAACAGGTATGTACAAGACATTGTTGATATCAGAAATCTGATGCGGTTGCTTATGTTGGAACAATGATATTTTTGGTTTTTCAGACAAGTATATTTCCGACCATACACTGCTGTTGCTAATTATATATTTATATAATTAGCAACTTTTTTTAACTACAATAATATCTAATAATCAAGCATTATTTTTGGTTTTGGACCGAAATCAATTCATTATCTAATATATAATATTTTATTGGAATTTTCAAATCCCTCAATTCTTATTTATTCTCTAAATATTACTGCCAAACACATCGCTTCGACGCTGCGCAAACTATACAACAATTTCACTCTTAACAGAAATTAATGGCACTTTCCCGCGGCTGTCAACCTCTGATTACTCCCTGACTTCTCGATGAAAGTGACTCTTTCTTTCGCATTCTCTTATTTGCTATGATCTCTCACAGAAATAAATTTAATTTGAATTTGATTGGTTAAAAATTTTTCGCAGTTTCCATTTGAGCCTTCTCCTCCTATCGTCTATTTTCCTCATTGCTTTTCCTTTTTATTTTTGCAAATAAATACTATAAATTTGCTTGTTTTTCTTTCCGTATAAATAACCTAAGGTAGTCCATATCTGGAGCATTTTTGTCTTAGAAACAAATGAAACTTTTTTCCCATCAATCTTCTCCCTTCGCAACGCATCCATTTATGATTTATTTGCAAGACTGTTGGGGCAGGGAAATGTTAACAAGTATGATAGAAACAAACGACATATTTAACACTTATCGATGTAAATATATTCATGCGCACTGGCAGCTATCAATGGTAAAGATAATATTTTGATTCATTCAAGTCATACTTGTTCATTTTCTTCTCTCTCAAATCTATTAACGCAAGGCCCGCAGCCATAAACTGTTAGAAATTAGCGATTATTTATGAACAACACTACTCCTCAAAGACACAATCATTCGAAGTAGTTTCAGAGTCTGAAAAATAAAATGAACTTTTTATCGGTAGCGAATCGTTATATCATCAACTCAGAAATGAACCTCTTTACTTATTACATTCTTCAGAACAAACAAAATCACTAATTGGTCGTCGGAATTCGATCTGATGGCAAGTTTTCTTAGTGTTAGTTAAAATTTGATTGAGAGCTATTATTGAAGATAAAGCAAAGTGAATAGACAAAATAGTTAAGTAATTATGCACAGTTCAATTATAAAACTTTTCGAATCTGAAACATTTTGATTTGTTGCCAGCATTTTATTCTAAGAAATTTTTAAACAATGAAAGATTTGATGTTATAAAAAGTTCAGAACAGAAGGCCGGAGCAAATCATTTTCCGATTACATAATAAACTGTTCTTTATGTATTTTTAGTAGTCTACAGTTTCATGTTCATTCATTAAAATTCAAGTTTGAAATCTCAGGAATAAAAAGTAGTACTGACAAATAATGGTGATTGCAAGCAAAGCCATAGCTCTTCTTGTGTCACAGAGATAAAATTGAGAATCATTTTTTGTAGCAAATTTTACTACAAATTGAACAAAAGTAATGAATCCTTGGCGAAAAAGTGAACAATTAAAAGATGTCTTTCAATGAGAAAAAATTTTAAAGTTTCTTGGCTATATAATATATAATCCTTCACATTAAAATTAAGTTATGCTGTTTTCAGAAATAACTAGACTAATATCAGCCCAAATTCATAAACAATAATTTCATTACCTGATTTAATTTCTTGCTTCTATTATATTCATCTTGCTAAAACTTGAAGTGGAAATTTAAATTACTGAATAAGTATCTTATTTAAATTTATTTCAGTATGAGGTCAATGAAAAGTTTTGCTAAAAATTACCTTCATTGTGCTATGAATTACAGATTTTCTTCCCAAATACACAATTTATAAAATTAAAGTAATGCGACGAATAATTTAGCTATGACTGTATTATAACTGATGGGCTTATATGCATGGCAGTGAAAATATGACTACTCTCTGTTCACGTATATTGTTGTTCCTCAGCTGCTTACAGTAACGTTAAAAGTTCCAAGAAACTAGACAAAATTTACAGCTTTTTATTAACATAATGGTCAAAATCTTTTGCAAATAAAATTTGATATAATGAACAAATATTTGATGTTATTATGCTGCCAGAAAAATGTATTCATAGACTGCTATTTTAAAAAAAAAGAAAAATGATAACCTGCTAATCCTGTCATATCAGCTACCATAGTTCCTGGATATGGATGAGCTCCAAATGGATACTGTTGTGGATAACCATATGCCCATGTATGGCCAGAAGCTACAGCAGCTGCGTGAGCAGCTTGAGCTGCATGAAAATTTGACCCGTAGAAATCAGCTTGGCACATTGGATTCATCATATCGAAGCCTTAATTTTACGATACATTTAAAAAGTCCACGTCGTCATCACTTCAGCTACTATTTTATTCTATCAATTACTTAAATGCAACAAGCAAGAGAAGAAATTGCATATATTTACCGGATGCAGTGGATGGTGAAAGGAATGTGGCTTTGGCAACAGCATTTGGTGATGGCACTCCAGTAGAGCATAATGGTGGTCCACAAGTAGAAGCTAAAGCTGTGATAAATTTGCTCAATAAGAACTTTTTGGTAGTCTATAAGTAAATCTCTTAGGTAAGAACTTTATCAGGAATATTTTTCAAAGTTAAGATCTCTTTTTAATTGGAAAACTTGTTTTTTAGATTTTGTATCTTTATCAAGTAAAGGCTTACCAGATGCTCCAGAAACAGAAGCGACATTAGCAGCGGCAGCCACAGCTTGCTGTGCAGAAAGATGTGCCGCCTGAGCTACAGCTACAGCTTGATGAGATGATGTCCAATCATAACCGTATGGATACTGTTGAGAATTTCCTGCATGTACATGATGATGATGGTGATGATGATGAGTACCAGGTATGCTGCTCATACCATGCAAAGAAGATGATGCCGAAGATGAACTGCAAAGGATACGTGAAATAAAAATACACTCCAGAACTAATAATTTACTGATCATTTTTCCACATGTCGTATATCCATACCTTTAAAATCTTAATTTATTGATCCTTTTAATTTTATTACTTATACTAAAGAAACTATCATTTATTTGCTTAAAGAAAACTCAGTCCAACTCGGAAATTACTGAAATATAAATAGACTACTGTAGTAAAAGAGAATAGACTTACTCAAACAACAATTACTAAAAATTTAGGATTATTAATTCAATAGAACTTACCTTGTTGCAAGCGTTGGAGATGAGGTACTGGTTCTGTTTTCGCTTTCATTCACTCCACTTAATGTTATATTACCCGAGGATGCAGCTGCAGCTGCAGCTGCGGTAGCTACAGCAATTGCCGGTGATGCAACATTAGCTGCAGAGGTGAATTTCTGGTAAAATGGTTTGTCCATGAAACTGCCAGAGAAGCCAAACGATGCCCGATTATTGAAACCGTTCATCACAGAAATCATATCATTTGATATGATTAAAAGTTATTTTTTCACAGATAGGTTTCAATAGTGAAACTGAAAATAAAAGCTCATTTAATGATTCATTTTGCTTCAAGTTCTGCTTCTCATAGAAAGCCGTACGAAATTCAAGCAAAACAGCTGCTGTTTTTTTGATAAAATAATTAGCTTGTCTTTTGTAATTGCAACTTGAAATTTAGAATAAAACTGGAGTTGAAAAATAATATTCAGTTCCTTGAAAAATGCTGTTTTATAATGAAAAACAGGTAAAACTGAATTCCTAGAAAACAATTTTGATTGCTGAAAATCAAAGATGTTGAGTTTATTTTTTCAAGTAGCAATATATTAATTACTGTATCAGAAATCATTGTCTTAACACTTAAAAAGTCACTAGTTTCTTCTGTTTTAGCTAATTATTATAGCTGTGTACCGTTTAAAAACTACGTTTTTCAAGCCTAAAGGAAATTTAAAGAAAGTGATTATTAGCGAGGAAAATTGGTTCTGAGCTTGTCGACGAACTGACCCAGCGTTCATTTGAAGGACAAATGCAAAGAAAATTTAATTTTTTATTATCTGACATAAATATATCACAGATCATTTGTAGTGACTTCAATGAACGATACACAAAAAGTGCTGCCAATTATAACTGTCTTAAGATTCTGCAAACTTTCAAACGATTTCAGCCGTACATTTTACTTGAAAAATAATCGCGAAAAAGTTGCAAGTACCATTATTTGCTGATATCTGTTACAATGAACTATTCATTGAAATGACTGTGCAAATCAATCAGCGTGAAGGTTGCCTCGGAAATTGAAGTGGACAGCTATAAAAAGTATGTATACCTATGCACTCATTTCCTAGCTGTGTGTATTACAATATAAATTAACGTGCACACACACGCACACACAGACATCGCATTACACAAATATTTAAGCCATATATGGACGTATACAGTCATATGGAAATAGACATGTAGTCATAAATACTTACATGTGTGCATACTATTATACTGAAACCGGTTTTTATCATTCGAACGATTCGTCTTTTTAAAATTGTTTAGAATGAATAAAAAAGTACTTCGAAAGATGCTATAAAAAATTCATTGAGCAAGTCAAGAAGCTCAAATACTCTTCTACGAATTTTCCCACGACATAGTTGTTGCTCTTCTTACAATTCATCAAATGAAAAATTCATCAACTTTTAGATACTGTAAACCAATTTTGCGCAACATTTAAATCTATGAAATTATCATCATTATCAATACAACATGTTTCTTGTTAACCATGATAGTTCCATCTGCGAATTTTTTGAAAAGTAATCTAAGACTAGAAAAGTAATCAGGGCCGCAATTTTTATCTAGACACAAAAAAGTAAACTTTTAAGATGAAAATATTCGGCATGTGAAAACCAGCGTTCTGATCTCATTCAAAACCTATTTGATAAATTAGGCAAAACTGCAGGTAAAAACTTCACGTGCGAATAAGATTCAGAATTGTAACGATAGCACATAAATATCAATTTTTATATATAATTTTTCTTATTTTTGAGACAGCTATGAATTATGATTTTCGTTCGTTTTTTAGCTCCATTCTGAAATCTGAAACGGCAGAATACCTCATGTAATTTCTATAACGAGGTTTCATTCACTGAATGTACATTGCTTCAGTTAAATGAAAAATGCTATTCATTAGCACTATGGCTGGTGAACTTTTAGAACCAATTCTGACACTCATCAGATTTATTTGTGATTAATTTCATCCCAAAACTTAGCTGATAATAAACTTTTCACAAAAATGTACACTGTTGAAAATCATAATACAACCATATAGGTATAAAGCAAAAAGCTAGTATTCATCTCAAAAAATTCGTGGCGAATTGTTATTCTCAAGGGAAAATGCGAATATTCATGAACTCTTTAAATAATTAATTATAATTTTTCGTTATTTCATATATTGAATTTGCTGTCTTTTTTAGTTGAATTTTATTTTTATAACAATGAGCGTTATAACTTGCAATTCTCGTTCTCAGATTAGCATATCTCCAGATGAATTTCCATGTGATAGTTCCACAAATGTTTGATATTATTGATCAAGTTGAGAATATACAAACAAAATTTCAAACCTTCCATGAATTTTGCTATTTTTCATCTCCTCTACCTAAATGGTTACTGTCAAATATACTCAACTCAATGAAAGCCAGATCAGTTTTTTTATTTCATTTAAAATCATCAAAATCTTGTTATAAAAATACCCAACTTAATGAATCAATACATTATCTATATTTCGAATAGAACCAATTAATAATATCAAGCTTGAGGTGAATGTGAAACAGTTTTATTTCACGGGCTTCACTTAAAAAGTTGTTTTTACAGTTGTCAACTTGATGTTCAATAAAATGATTACTGCATCAGTTATTACGTTGTTCTATCAAACAAATTATACAATGCGTTCAAAGCTTTTGACGTTCTCTAAAGATTATACAAGCTGCGAAAATTTTACAATTTTTAATGCGTGCTAAAAGTTGTGAAGAACTGTAAAATTGTAAAATGTCCAAATGTAATAAAAATAAAAAGGCTTAGATGTTGAATAAAATAGGGGTGAAATTTGTAGCACAAAGCTCGAAGATGGCATTAAAAAACCATAAAACTTATTTTATATAAAAACATAAATATATATACGTATATATGATGATCTTTCTCATCTGAATGATAACACAACCATCCTCATTTGCTTTGAACATAATTAATTTCATAGTCAGAACTTATTTTGTTTCAAAGAAGTTTCAACGGACCACAATTTTGTCTTCGTTCTCATTTGTCTGGTTGTAATATTATCATTGGATAACAAAGAATCGCTTTTCAATTCGATTGATAAATATAATATTCTATCAAGTTCTGATATTGATTGAAGCTATATTATTTTGGTTATAGTATAAGAAACTGCTCACATTTGAAAGATGTCACGACGTTAATCCAGTAGTCAAAGTAGTGTACTTCCATCCATTAATGATTTGATTGCTGTTTCACCAGTAATTCACTTTTTTCAACTTTACATATCTGATTAGACTATTATTTGCAATTTATCGGCAGATTATTTAACAGTGAAATTAAATCAATTAATTGTTCAAAAATTATTGATCGTAAAATGTTGACAAGAAATCAAATAGCTATGTATTATATCAAATATGATGAATGCTCATTGTCGGTTTTTAATATTTTAGTGTGACCAAATTTGGTAGTGATAACAAGTTTTTTGCAATGAGTAATGGCGAAAGCAAACTTTGGATGATAGTTTCAGTTAAGAAGCGGTGTTCGAATACTTCTTCATGGAATCAAGAAAAGCATTATCCGATGAAAAACCTTGATTTTTTCACAAAAATAATTAGTTTTAAAGTTTCTGATGTAAAGTCGGAATTAGTAACGAGTATGAATACTGCTTTTAAATACACTAATCTCTTCAATACACATATTTTGATGGTTCTGACTAGAGGAGATGCACTTTGACTACGACCAAGCGTGGAAGAAAGCTCAAGATTTTGCTGAAATTATTGAAGATCAGCTAGTATATGTATGAGTAAATAAAATAACTGCCGGAACACATGGAGACGCAAACCACAGAGAGGTACCAATTCTGCCAAGAGAAACAGATATGCAGGCTTATTAGGTACCAAAACTACACTCACATTATTATTATTATTGCAGCTAAATTCACATGTTCGCGTCAAAATAATATTGCCCTACGTGCAAACATGCACTGAGTATAGTGTCGGCATGAAAGAGGACGGAGAAGAAGGTGAATTGATGGCAGATGCATGATATGGCGGAAAGTGCTGTCGGCAAACTACAAAGGAATGATGCGACATCACCACAGCATATTTCAAACGCTAAGGGCGTAGTCTACAGTAACTTCAGCTGTTTGCTATAATGAAACCAAACAAAAGCACAGCCAATCATTGTTGAGTAAACGAAGTGGCAATGAATTGAAGCCCTAGTACCTGCCTATTCCGCGTTCCATTTACTTTTTCTAGAAAACTACAATATAAACTAATTTCTTGAATATGCAATAACTCTGATATTAGATCTTAAGTTGATTAGACTACTAAAACTGAGACAGGGCAAAATAGTGAGATTTTGAGCTTTAAAAGTCCTTGATGATTTAATTTGCTTGCTATGAAGCCCACTGATTAGCAGTTGCAAAAAAATAATTAAAATACAACAATTTATCTTAAAAAAATTTTAATTAATGCTGGATGTGTAGGAAGAGTGATACTGTAATTGGAAGTAGCATTAAATTTCTGAAATAAATTAATTTTTGTCAATGAAGGCTTATAAAAAAACGAGATCATGAATTTTCCAGGAATGTTGCTGTGCACAGAAATAGAAAAACTATTCAGCAATTTCAACTCAAAAGTCACTCTTTTTTTTAAACTTTTTTCTTTATTTTAAGTATACGATAGTACAAATATTTACTGATAGAATGCGCAACTTCAATGTGAAAGCAATCTTTTTTACGTTTGATGCAGCAATAATGTTTGAATGTGAAAAAAGGTAAACGATCAAAATTACCAAATTTTAAGATCAAACTGAACTAGGTCAATTTTTTTCGACCCAGTTTTTAGTTTCTAGAGATGAGAATCGAATAGTTTTGAAAAAAACAATAGTTCAAATTGATTCTTAATATGATTGATTTCTGAATTTATTGAATGATTTCTTAACGTTTCGAAATAATGAGATTTTTGATAATATCACAATTGAATTTCCAAAATTATGGTTTCTGAAGTTGCACTATACAAGTTTTTCTCACAGTTCGTTCATAGTTCTTTAAGTAGAGTAATTTTAACAAACTTTTTGTAAATGAAAAAATAATCGACACTTTTATATTAAAATTAATTTTAAGCAAAATTTTTGATTACTAGCAATGGTATTTTTGTCAAAGGACGTTAGGAGTATATTAATTGAGCAACATTAGCATTTAATTCATAACTTAATTTTGAAATTGCATTACCTTAGCACTTGAAAACTAGTTCTGACAATTTGCAATTTGGAAACACATAAGTATAAGATAAAGAATGTTCGCTGCACTTAATAAAAGTTATAAAAACAAAGCTCAAACAATAGCACTGAATCTCGAAGGAATTACTTATTCGTGGAGAGCCTAACATTTTTGCTTCAGTTTAAGTTTTTGTGAATATTCCATTGCCAGAAGTTAGAAAGAAACAAATCCAGAAAAAAACGATTTCTATTGGACTTCCATAAAAATTTCTTGAGAGTTATCAATATATTATCTTGATGCTGCCATTTACTAATTACAAACTGAATAGCTTATGCGTTGATACTAAACTTATTGAGCAATGGAAGCAGTTTTTGTTTCAATATCAGCATTAAAAAAATTAACAAAAAGAACTATGTTTTCCATAACTAATATTTTAACTATAAACACAATAATTAATTGCTTGGTCCTATCAAAATTAATTTTCTCTAGATAGAGTCTTTGTTCATAAAAAACTATAAGTGATTATTATTCGTTTGACTACAGAATCATGAATGAATTGAAAAATGATAAAATATTCCACGGTTTTTAAACAGATTTCGAAGTATCACTGCAACAGTTGTTCTCCTGATACGGTCATCATTAGTTCATGAATTTACCATCAACATCTCGATTATCTCATCTATTATTTTTGTCTTCCTTCTTTAAAAATTACGATTGATTAATTTCTTAAAAATGGAGCGTTATAATCCTTTTAATAAAGAATAAACTCACTATTGTCACCAATTTTTCGACTTGTATTATTATTATGTTAGCATTGATATTTATCGTATTATAATGACGTTTATCGCCAAACAACAAACAGTTATCATTAGTCATTATAAAATCACCTTTAATTATAAAATCATTTCCACACTGTTACAAATATTAGTGCTATTAGTATTATAGGAACGCAATTACGACCACCGCTAATTTTATAATTTTTATTATGATAATTAAAATGGCAACGATATAGATTATTACTAATATTATTAGCAGTAAAATGGTTGTATGACTTTTAAAAAGATATTTTAACTGAAAAGAAGTACGTAAAATGGTGTGAAATAGAAAGCAAAGTGTGTGATAAAATGTGCGGAATTGTCAATAAAAGTTGGATGAAATGAAACGAAATGATATGTCGGGGTTTGTTCTAGCTCGTAATCAGACTATGGCCATTCATCATTGGTGGATAAGGAATCGGAAGAGGCGGAGAGAGCTCTGCCGGAACTGTGTGAGGGCGGTGCCTTCCTCAGACTCCACCTGCCCAGTGTTTGAAATTTGTTCGTTTAACAATGCTTTTTCTATAGAAGTGTAAGTTTAAGATCCAGAGAATTTCTGGTATCACTTAGTATACAAATTATATCTGGTGAGTACCGATTATTCGGAAGTAAAATGATTTTAAAAATTCATCGAAGATACAGTATCTCGAAAATCTGAGCCACTATAGTGTTTTTGCATAAACAGCATTACGAAAATTTTTAAGAGATAAAAAAAATAATTAAAATACTCAGGTAAAACTCTAATCTCGATGAATTTGAAATCATTTTTACTTTTTATCCAAAGAATTATTCAAGTTCTTTTTCTTAGGAAAAATTTATATGCAAAGCTTTGGTGGTAATGGACTAGAGTTATGAAATTTTGAATTCTCAGACTATTCCTGTAGAAAAATCAAATTGGGCTTATGAACTTTATATTTTGACAGAAGTTTAACGCTCCTTTCACAGTATATGTTATCGTACTTTTAGATGCATTAGATGATCATTGAGTAATATGCAGCAAAGTGAACATTCATAATGAGTTAGGACTGTAATCACTTGATGAGTGCTTGCTGTTATTTCGTTTTATTAAATAAATTAAATCAAAAAATGGTTCGTCTTCTGTAAGTTGGAAATTTGATAGTGTACAAAGCTAAAGAAATAAAAAGAGCCAAACCTGTTAGAACTTTTATTTCTTACGGCATACTTATATAAAGAAAATAAGCAAGAGCTTCATTAATAAATGCCTCAAATAGTCGTCATTTTCATGAAGAATAACGTCAGCGAGGCAAGGAAAATTGGCGTTTTCCCTCACAAGAGACAGCAGCGATTTATTAGGACAAAATATGCTTTTGCTTGATAGTGATTGATATTGCTTTTTTACTGTAGCAGAGTGTTACTAACATTGCAGCTTGTTATTCCATCTCAGTGTATTGCTAATCACTTCTGCAAATATTGCTAGTCAGTTCTGCAAACGATTTATTAAATTTAAAGCAATTTGACTCAAAAATATCAACCAGTAAAGTGTTAAGTATGTTTACTTATCATTTGCAGATTTTTTTAAATCGTTTAAAAGAAAAATGTTGCGCACCTTAGAAACCTAATATCGTGAGTGCTTTGAAAATAAACAAGATCATAAATCTCCTTACTTTGAGTTCAGACCAATTATGATTATTCCATAACAATAGAATTTCATATCGAAGAGGCTAATAAACTGTTAATGTAAAATATTGTAATCAAATATATTTATTTCTTAATCATCAAATCCATTACAAATTAATATTACACGTTGAAGTAATAGTCTCACACTTACGACCATTAAAACAGGCTTCACTGAATCCACTATATGCTAGAAATGAAATTGGTAAAAAGTTTTAATCATTGAGGAAAAAATGCAAGTAGGCACCTTTATTTCACGTATCAGTCAGTAATCGTGAAATTGAAATGATATGTTGCCTTTATTGACTAAATTAGTAAAATTTTAAAAAAGTATATACATATTTGTATGATTTTGATCGATAATGTCAGTTGAATGTTTACGATAAAAAAAACTGATATTTAATTCAAAAAAGACTTTGTAATCATGTGTAAAGCTCAGAGAACAAGAAGTTATTATTTAATTCGCAAACTAATCAAATTGAAAGAGAAAGAACGAATGAGTTTAAAGTAATGTTTTCTAAAAACTGGAAAGTGAGAAAAAATGTTTAAATTTTACTAAGATATATCTTTCAAAATCAATGAATTAAAACTTAAAGAGTGCGAAATATTTTACAGTGTGGGAAAATAATTCAGTTGGACAATATTTTGCTTTTATTAATCAAAATGTTTGTTATAAAAAAATTAAAATGAGCTGTGGAAATGATTGCAAGTAATGTGGCAGCTGTTATTTTTATGTTTTTTCTAAAAAAAGCGCGAGAAAAAATCAATTTATTTTCCTGAGACTTCAGATTTTTGGGAAAGATCAAAAAATTAATGCAGAAATCTGCGTCGAAATAGATAATGTCGAATTCTGACGCAAGTCTTCTACAGTTACATTCTCACAACTTGAATTACAACAAACCACTGAGAAAAAATACCCAAAGTACTCTATGGAATGGTAGCAACAGCTAATTTGCTTTCAAACTCAGTTTCTTGCAATATATATAATGTATTTTCATTTTGATAGTATTCTAACTGCAAATGTGAAACATTTATCTGCAATGTGCAGTGTTTAATGACTCACAAATAAAGCCATTAAATGCACGAAATGAACAGATTTTTTCATTTTTAAGCTGACTTTAGTTTTATTCCTTCAAGTTTTGAGGTTTTTATTTCCGGATTTTAATCAACACTGCGTTGCCATTTTCTAGCAAACATACATCAAGCACTGCTGCTGATATTATCCTTAATGAAAATAATTCAGTCAAAAGCAGTGTCTATTTCAAAATTGAAAATAGGGAATTATCATTACAACATCATTATTTATGTTTTCCAAGCTTTCAAATAAGAATTTTCAGCCAAAAACAAACTTTTCTAAAAAATGAGCGAATTCAAAGTCATAAGATGGTCAGAAAAGTGAAAATAACTGTGCTGGTCACTGTAGAAGGTGCAAACTTTAAAAACAGCTGGCGAAGTTAATATTTCATATCATTATTCTGATAATTTGTGAAATGAAATGACACTTCGAAACTGAATATTATTTTGAAAGCTTCTCAGTTACTAGTAAAAAAATGTTATTATTGAAAAAATTATGAAGAAAAAACTTGATGAAATGAAGTTTTAAAATACGGGGGTACGGTGCTGAAAACACTAAGAACTTGGATAAATTTTGACAAAATAATGTTATAACTTGAAAAGTATTAAAATACTATTGCTTTTGTGAAGTAGCTTTAAAATATTTCTAATTAGACGCTCCAGGCAAAATATGATCTTGAGTGAGATCTAAAAATTATCAGTGTATCTGTTTAACAAATGCTAAAAGAGATTATCATAACTTAAGTTTTGAGAACAATTGAAAAACTGCCAAAATAAATTCTTCTGCTCATTAAAAGCTTAATGAAAGCTAGAAATTTGAAAATTTGAGTGCGAAAGGCAACAAATGTGATGCTGTGAAGGAGCACAGAATGAAATTAAATAATTTGAAATTAGAAATCAGTTCTTAAGCTGGAGAAGTGTGCTCGAAGGCACATGAAACGTTTGAGGAGACGTTTCTTGAGCTCATTACTCTTGCATGCATTCTTAATGTTTAGCGATGGACAAAGGTCGAAAGACCCGACAACAAAGCCGAGAATTTTATTATTTGAACGAAATTTTGGAATTCAAACAGGTAAATAATAAAGCAATAAATGATTGAATGACATTTAAGATAGAAATGAGGAAAGTATTCAAACGACTGACAACTTGACGATTATTTTCATTGAAATCAACACATTATTAATCCAAAAGTACTTCTGTATTATAATTGTAACTGAGAGGACTAAGACAGGTTGAGAGCAAAGGACTGAAGTAGTTTGCGTCATGCGAGCAATTTTCTGATCAGCACAGCGAGTTAGTCCTGCTCGTTACTGCCGCTCGCAAGTGTTAATGAATATTAATAATGTGCAAAAAAAAGTGTAACTCCTGTAAAAAGCTACTGAGTACACTTCGCCCAAGCAACAACAAAGCCATTGCTCACAACACTGCCAGTGCTCGGACAGCCATGCCTCGACTTAACAATGCACTGTGCAACTGCTCGGAAGGCAAAGGAACGTAGACATCGATTAGCTCTTTTTGCTCTATTTGCTGAATCAAAGCACTGCTTACGATTGATTGACCGCTGTTAGCTATGTCACTGCCAGATTTACCTTTTAATGAGCGGTGCTTACTTTTGTATTCTAATACTTTTACGCGACATTTTAATTTGGCTGAAATTGTATTCGTTGGAAACTGTCTTCTTTTGTCTAATTCCTTCATGCGATACTCCTCTGATCCAAAAGGTACAAAGACGTGAAGAACGTGGGAATTGAAACATCACCAATACTGTTTCTGATTACTCGTAACTCAGTTGTAAATACTTCACGTTCAGTATTGATAATTTATAATGAAGCGTTGCAGGGTGACAGCAGTGATAGTGATAGATGACAAGTCCTTGGTTAGTATATTGCTGTGGTACTTTAATCAAAAATATGCTCAAGCGCCTATCCTAAAACATGATGAGTGGAATACAACTAGCTCTTGTCAGTTTTGCCATAAAAATATCCAGTTAAATCTTGACTGTTATAGAGAAAATGTAGCAATATACTAACCGAGGACTTGTCATCTATCACTATCACTACTGTCACCCTCAACGCTTCATTACAAATGTTTATTGTTGTTTTAGTTTTTGGTAGATCTCAGGCTCGAGATCTACCAAAAACTAAAAAGAAATGCGCTCATTAAGAAGTTTGTATTCTTAAATAAAGCGCCAACAAACAATTTTCCCACCAAAATTAGTCAGATTTAATTGATGTATAAGGGTTTTGTAGACATTGCTTATCACAAATAAGTTGGTGTGTTGCTTTTATTTATAAAAAACTTTGAGAAAAATGTTAACATTACTTAAAACATTCACTCATTTCATTACAAACTGAAAAATTTAGTAATTTAAAAATATTTAAATTAGTGTGAACTATTTTTAGATAAAAATATCTCGAAAACGATTTCTGTGATATTAATCACATCTTAGAGTAACAGCAATATTTTTTCACTTGTCGCACTTTCAGAGAAGATTCTTGTGAAAAAGAGATAGTGACCAGTTAGAAAACTTTGCGATTTCCATAAGACGAATCTTATTGTTGAATCTTACAGTTACTAATGAATATATTTCATTCAAATTTGCTCTCATCCTCAAACGCAAAATGATCGGTTTTCAATGTTTTGCAGTTTTTGTCACTATTACTAAGTGATTTTTTGTTCAAAAAATGTCGATTAAGGTGAATTAGTTTCTAATCTAATTGTAATCACAGTATAATTTAAAGTAGATGAAATGTCTTGAGCATCAATACTGACAATAACTCAAAAAAAAGTATGCCTATGGCAATAAAAGCAGAAGTTTGCAGAAATGCACTAATTTTTTTGCTACTTAACTTTTAGCCTTCAGTCAGTTCGGAAAGCTATAATTAATCCCTGCAAGATTAAAACTAATCGAAATCCTAACGCAAGCCATTTTTTAACATTTTTTTAATTATTAGTTAAGCTTAGCTCAAAAATGCAGCCTAAATAAACTCTGTCTTGAATTTGGTAAAATTTTGGTATCATTCAACCAACACAGTAATATAAAACTGTCAACTCTGGTAAAGAGAAAGTACAAAAAGTTCAAGTGGGATCAGATCAGTAGCTTTGTCAACAAATGATTAAGACAGGTATTAAGGCGCTTTTGAGTATCAAATGCTATTACGATCATCGGCAACAGTTTGAAAAATGTATTACAAAAAATAGCGGTCAGGCCATAATAATACTGTTATTGTACATACAATCTGATAGAGCTAAACCGCCACCTTTTTGCAATACTTTCCTCTTTGCATGCTTTTGTGGTTTGTTTTACTATCGGGAACAATTTTAAGCGATGAAAGAAACACAGGTGTTTATCTGGCTTTGTTTATGCTTTGTTCGGTTCACTCGAAATCAATCATAAGTAAGAATTAGTGTATAAATCATAGCTGTAGTAATGGGATTAGTGCAGGGATTGCTCATAATATTTGGGCTATTTGCGTTATGAAACATCTTATGAATAATGAAATGATACTACCATTTATTACTTAATAAAAAATTGAATTTAAATCTTGACCTTAGAGAGTAGGAAAATACATAAGTGAGAAAATGAATAGAAACTTAAAATATTGTGAACTATACTTCGAAATCGACTCTAGTCAAAATACAACGCTTGAAACAGTGAAATGGAAAATACAAAATACAAAGAAATATGTATTTTTCAAGGTAGCAAGAAGTTAATGATGGTTGCAAAGTACAGCAAAATACATCATTTGTGGAAGCAGCCATGTAATTTTAATACATTTTAAAGGTAATATTTTGGGAGGAAAACAAAATAGCTTTTCGATTCATATAGTTTGCATCAGTTGAAAATACTTTTTCGTGAATTATATTATTTTTTCAGTACATGCATTTCCATATCAGAGTTTAGTTCCTTAAACAATAACACCAAACGCTTGAGTGACTCAACCGGTAGTTCTGATCAAAACTTAAAAACACTTGGAGCTCTACAGTTATCCATCGAGAAAAATGAAAATATTTCGAAATTTTTTTTTCTTCAGATTCAAACATAAAACGATAGTTGATTGAATTTTATTGCCAACTTCGAGATTACTGTATTCTTAAGAAGACTGCTAAAAAACGAAACGGAAAACATTGAAAATTTTCTCTTCTTAAGAGTGAAATGTGGAAAATGTTTAAAAATTTTCGTAACCTCAAAAGTTAAAATATTTTATTGCAAAAAATTAATTTAAACCAGAATTATAATCACAGCATAATTTAAAGTAGGTAAAAGTCTTCAATTTCAATACTGACAAATCAAAAATTAGTAAATTACATTCGGTCAAGATTGTATTTTATCGCTCTATTTTAACAATTCTGTCAATTTTTAATTTGCAGTCTGAATTTTCTATGTGATGAATAAAAATATTTTCTATGTATATTTTCATTCGCATTGTATTTTGATGATTTAATTAAGCTATTTTCCAGTATTTAACGTTCTAAACTTGAAATATAGGGTTTGCTCTATTTCTACGGTTAAAAGAGAAAAACGAAAGAAAGCTTGCATCATAGAAGTAGCCAACTGTTTAAAAAAGTGAAATATTTAAAAAAAGTTTGAGTGCACTGGATGGAAATTCAATCAACACAGACCTGATAAACACATAGATACAGTAAGTAAAGTTGAATAAGAAGGTGGGGCTAGATAAGATGTGATAATGATAGGTTAATTGGACAGGCTTCTTCGTCAAAAGCGAGAACGGGCTTGTCAGTGTGCAGTAAATTCAATGATTTATTCAATGACAAAATTATGCGCAATTAGTTCAGAGATATTGTTAGACGAACTAGTTTCCCAGTGATTTATGAGGTAGTCAATCTTTGGTAACTGTTTAGTTTGTGCAAAAAAATTTACAGAGAATGTAAAATGATACTTATGCCGTTCACACGAACTAAAATGCTTTGCAACCTATGTACTAAGATGAACGTCTGCCATCTTAGTACGTATCCAAAAAGCTCAAGTATGCAGAAAGAATAGACTGACGAACTATTTTCCTAATTTATTGTCAGATTTTTTAAATTTTGATTTTCACTTGTATTCCTCATGCATACTTGATGATGTTTCAAAAAAACGTAAATATGCGTGGACTGAAATGTTTTGTTTTCATTTCATACCCAAAAACTGTAATTAACAACAATATGCGCTACTGTTACCACAGTTATCGATAGCTTTAGGATTGTAACAGCCGCTATCATTGCCATTTTTGTCATTTTTTATGATCATATTAATCACAATTTTGAAGGTTTATACTGCTGCACCTATTGTCGGCAATCTTGTTTGTTATTATGACAGTGACGAACAAACAGTTTTGTTACTTCATTGCTATCATTATCATCAATACTATTATCAGCAACAATCCTTTACTGTCACGTATTGATGAGTGAGTAAGTACTTTGTTGTTATTTATTGATTTTTCAGCGATAAAAATGGTAAAAGATGAAAGAATTGAGCAAGAAATACGAATATATAGTGATAACTTTAATAATAACTTGAAAGAAGCATAAAAATAATGATTTTGATAGCGATTTTGAATGAGCTACAAAAGAGGCTGCCAGGAAATATGCAAGTCAAAAAAAGAGAAATACACAAGTGGGTTCATGTTCATGTGCTTGCTTGCTTCCTAGGCGCCCTGATCAAACGGCGGGTCGTTGCTTTGATTGGCTGCCACAATGATAATTTTTGTGCGTGTGTATGCACAGCCTAAATAACTAACTAACTTGTGTTATGCTAGATTAGCTTCGCAAAGCGAAAGAGAAATTTCTCCATTATCAGCGCATATTTTTGCTTATCATTCTTATCAGTGATGCGTTCTCATACGCTGGTACACTGAACATTTTCTCGCTTTCAGCTAGTATTTTTACGCAATGCACTACTCTGTCTGCTTGAATTTTTTACAAATGTGTTACTTGCTTCCATTTTATTTTTCGATTACCGCTCATCGTTATGCCTTCATGATGTGAACAGTTAGATATACCTCAATGTCAGCATTAATTACTGCCAATATTATTAACACTATATATTATCATATCATTGGCATTATTAAAAATATATTTTTCTATTACTTTTATTTTTACCATAATCGCTCTTCTCATTACAAGCAACAGTGCCCATAAGACTGATACAAAATTACCTCACTCACCACAAGTTTAGCTCTTCTCTATTATTTTTCATAATAATTATTATGCAAAATGGCTTCAGTCAATAGTAAATTGCTGTGAGATAACGAATTATTTTGCTGCAATAATATGTAATTCATTGTCAGTTTGTAACTAGAACGTGATAGCAAAATGGTGCCTAAATTTGCATTTTGCATTTTGCATTCAAATACTTATCTCACTTTTACTTAAATCAATCAATGACAATGCGAAATAACACCACAGTTGAGAGAGTCAAATCTATTTCAATCATTCAAAATATTTTCCACTTTTTAAATGATTACAAATTTTTTCTGCGCAAATTTAAGACTATTTGTGGCACTCTTTTGCTGAAAATATTGTTCTTTTGTGAACTTCGAAAAGTTTGCACTGATAATTTTGGTATCGCACATTTGTTTTCTTGTACTTTTCACATTTCAATTAATGTAACTTTCATAACTTTGATCTGATTTTAGTGATCGACACCATGAATACTGATCTTCCCTTTCATTTCATGCTCTATTCCAATTATTCCA